GTTGCGATTCAATCTTGATTCCTGCTTGAGTATATCAAAACAGCCGAGTGTATCAAAGGCCGATTCAACGGCAGCTGCGGCGCGATTGTCACTGGGTCAGATTTGCCTGAAATCCCAAAAAAAAACGTCGAAATCTACACCCTCGATGAAAAGGTTGCATTCCTCCATTTCATAACCTTTGAAGCAGTTTGAGGTAGGGTTAGATAGAGCTGGATTTCGCGTTTCCAAGAAGTATTGAAATTGCTCTGAAAGCCTTCCATGCAGAAGATAGGGTCTCTCAAATTTCGTCGAGTAAATGTCGAGGACGCTGAAATTTTCACGCGAGTTTTTGCCACTTCAAGAGCAATATATCTCTTAATATTGTAAGATCCTGAAAAAGGGAAGATAGTTTTGGAAAGCGGAAGGTTTGCGCTTCCTGATGGTCTGTTTAGTTTTCTTCTACAGCTTTTTGGTTGAAGAGATAATTGCGTCGAGGATCTATCGAGGTCGGATCCGGCCACCTGGAAATCCGCTCCCCTTCACCATTGCAAGTGTGATTCGTTGGCAACACTCGGAATGTGTCTAGAACAAATCTTTCAACGCAAGCAATAAGAATAGGAGCAATCGTCATCATCCGATTTTCGTATTGGTATAAGCCATGCATCCCTCCTCCACTCACAGTTGCAGAATCGATTGAAAGGTGTTATATGATGGGGACCTTCGAACGAAACTGTATTGTAGTAGACATAGTGTGTTGTGCTATTCCTGTAACCTAAAAAACAACTTCATTTGCCCAGCGCTTTTTCTTCACGGTTGTCGTTTTTCCGACAGGGTCCCTAACAACAGCGTCATTCTCAGCGAGGTATTAAGGGAGAAGGAGCGAGCGATAGGCAGAGGAGGTGCCTTTGCAGCGCGTGCGCACATGTGGCAGTCTTCTTTGCGGGGATGCACTTTCATTTTTGTACTGCCTTCATCGTATAACTTCGTATAATGTATTTTTTTTTTTTTCATTCTTTGTACTGCCTTCAAATACGCCCTTCTCATGAAGGTGGAGGAATGGAGCGACTGAACCTGCAAAGAAAATTTAATATCATGTTTTTTTCAGATATTTTCATTTTCTGCTGCGCTATACCCTCTTACCTATCTGCACCACGATACCACTGCTGTTACTGACCCCCAAGAGTACGACCCCCCATGGACCAGCCCGACAGGTACGACCCCCCTGTCGAGGATTTCCTCGACCGATATTCACCCTGGCTCTGACAGTGGGTTGATGGATAGATGACTGCCCACATTTTCGACTTCAAGTCAAAATTTTAGATTTGGACCAAATGTTGTTGAAAGGGGTGTTTCGACGCGCTGAACACGAATATCGCATCTGCTTGGCACGAAATTGCCTTACGCGTGCGCTACGGGTGTCAGAGGCGGTCACTTGCAAATGACGCGCACAGTGCTCGAAGCTCTTCGCCAGCTCTGTTTACTTGTGCTATAGGCAATCGCTGATAACTTAGCATGGATAAGAGTCCCTTAAACAACGTTTCACAAGAAAAGCAAAAGTGAGAACTCGCCAAGAACTCGAACTCACGACCTCTCGTTCGTTGAGCCGCACCGCTGCCACTGCACTATCTCGCTTCATAACTACGTTCAAAGAGTCGTTTCGCAGATTTGGAGAGCAGATTTGAGATAAGCGTCCAAAAACACATCTAGTGGTGTATGTCTCGTTACAAATGGCCACTTCGACCTGGTATCCTTCCCTTGTGTAAGATGTAGCGTGATTGGAAATGTGAAACGGCGATCCTTGTTGCGCAAGGAATCATGGCGAAGACTGGGTTGATTTTCGCATGAAGGTGCAGCCCAGCCTACTGAAGTAGGGTCCGTTTTCCTTGCTAAGAGTGTTTGTCTGTCTTTCTTTTCACCATTTTCTTTCTTTAGTGCTTCACTGAGAAAAAAGCCATTAAGGGAAAGGTAAACGTGAGAAGAGAAACAAACAAATGCTAAAACATATCGGAGCAGAAGCGAACCTTACTTCAGTCGGCTCGGCTGCACCTTCATGCAAAAATCAGCCCAGTTTTCGCCACGATTCCTTGCCACAAATGAATGCCTTTCACATTTACTAATCAAGAATGATCTTGGGATTCCTTCACACGCATGAACAAAAGTTGGTTGAGGCATTAAGTTCTGAAGAAGATTCGATGACACAGAGCACCGTTGGATGAAAGAGGATGTTTTTTTTGTGACACGGCCCTCCTTCCTCTGTTTCTATCGAAAAGTATGAGAGACCTTTAAAGCTCTTCTAAACTCCATATCATGTAAAATCCCTGAAGAAATTCTTGAGCTTGGCGTGAATTTGGTCCAAATCTGGCGTGAATTGCGTTGTTCAACAGTTTTTGCGACAACCTAACCTTTTCAAAATCCAACAGCAGTTTTTATTATGCTGTCCCCTTAAGAAGTGAAGTGTTACCACAATGAAAAAGTTTCGTGGAACAGAAGTGAAAAGTAATCGATAAACGTGAGGTGGACGTATAATTTTGGGACGTCGGCTGAGTGGCCTTTTACACAAAAATTATTGGGAAAAATTCCTGTGATCTCAAATAGAAAATTGATGTTCATAGGCAATTGCGTATTTATATGCGATATATTGTGACGTAGGAGACTTTTTTCGAAACATCTATATCTGTGAGATTTTGGGAAATTTTTAGGTGGACGTATTATAGGTGTGGAACGCATTTCCATATCTCGGCGCCGGGTACCCGACAGGAGGCCCGTCTCGCGGCAGGAAGGCAGAAACGCAGGCGGGTCGGCGAACGGGTCGCAGTGGGTACTCTAATGTTTCTGCTTCAAGTTGAACGGAGCGCCAGTAGTACTTTCCACATCGTACACTGGACGCTGCGACTGCGCTACGCTGACTCAGCCGGCTCTGCTCTTCGTCTTCGCGACGGCCTGCTGTCGGCTGTCGCCTGCGTCTGCCCAGTGAGCATCGTTATGGCAGTGAAATGTAACTACGTATCATGTAATTATCCCAGGGATCGTTGTCGCGTTCAATTCATATTAGCGATGGCCATTGTCATAACCCTTCAAACGGATGAGGACTGGGAGTTGGTATAAGATTGGCAATGTAGCTCAAGCAGGAGATGTTGTAGTCGAGACTTTTATTTACACTCAGGCCTGTCTACTATCTAATTGCGAGGCCTGGGCTAACGACTTTTCACAAAGCATCAGTTAGATTCTAAGTTCGGGTTTCGTGTTTTAACGAAATTACATGTATTGCGCAGCCGTTCATGATAAAGCCGTACCCTTTACACATGAAGCGTAACAATCTGTAATTAAATGATAAGTACCGAAATTCCCAGTGGTCCCTATCGCAGCAAGAATGGTCAACAATGAAAAAGGCGGTGGGAGACCGAAGGGGAAGATCAAGTGGTATTTTGTGGGACAGCGATGAATGCTCAGGGTGAACAATCTTTCTCCGATAATATCGTAAAGATATCAGGAGCTTTCGAAGATCTGGCTTATAATTCGTGTTGAATACATGTACTGGCGTGTTCATCGACCGCCGTTTAGTTAGCCGCGCTCGGGCGGCGTTTCTGGTTCTGAGGGGCGGTTTGGGGTCGGCAAACGAGATGACTTTGGGTTGCCACGTATAATTTATCATCAACTTTGCATATTTTATCAATAAAGATTAGCTACAACCATACAAGTCTCTAATTATCAATGATTATTTTGAACTACAACTACAGACTAATATACAAAACGAAATGTGTAAGGAACATATTGTATAGTTTTTGGTTTCTCAAAACGTTTGATTCCGTCTCCTTTTAGCTGTAATGTACACATCAGTTAGTCCTTAACTATTGTATCCGTTTTCTTCGGACATAATCGTTCGCTTTCTCGCATGTGGCAGCAGCCTATTAGGCTGAAGCTCTTACGGTAGACCTCCTTGAGCCTGACGACGGTGACAGATGACGTCATATTCTGAAGACGGTGAGGGCAGTGAAGGAGGGCCTGCGTCACTTATAGAGGGACATTTAGGGAATATTTTGCTGAGGAACTCCCGTCAACGACGGCAATCTCTGCGAAGAAAAAAGGGCCGAAGTGCGACATGGCAAAATTTCTTTTTTGGTCGCCTGTACACAATGTGTTATTGTTGTTTTCAGTGTGTGTAAGAGTTGTAAGCCTTCTGCTAACGTATTCAACGTATACTCATACCTACTGCAACAGAGAGAGCTCTTGTTGTAGAATAGTCCAAGTGTAAAGGATACGGTAACTAAGAATGTGCTCGGGATGCTTCCCATGCTGGAATGCTGGAGATGAAGGCTGGCGATAACGATGCGAGGGACGAGGAAAGACAGCAACAACGCGACAGGCAGTCGAGATACCCGCGGGGAAGCCGCGAGGTCGTGTCATCCGTCCGGACAGCGCCGCCAGTACCATCGTCCATGCCTATTCGCCCTGGATAGCCACTTACCGCTTTCCTACCTCGAGCGTGATCACCATGTCCTGTTTGTACGCTCAGTGGGCGATAACTTCGCGGTGAATTCAGTGTTCCAGTTCTGTTCATCTTATCAGTTGTCTAATAAATCTATTAACTCTTGTCTCTCATATGGGCCAGCACTTACTCAAGTCTCTTAATCTTGGCATGGAAGTTGACGTGATGGTTTTGCTGTAGCCTGACCAAGATTTCAGCACTTTTTATTAGGCTTACGTTTCGGCCTCTTCGCCTTCGTCAGAGCCTAGATCTTTGTCGCCAAGGCGCAAGATCGACCACCCAAGAAGCAGACTTTAGCGTGGAATCCACGCTAAAAAGTGCTGAAATCTTGGTCAGGCTACAGCAAAACCATCACATAGAGAGCTCTTATAACGACTATTAATCATAAATGTTCATTATGCAAAAAAGTGACAAAATACCAACAATAAAATGAAAACATGCTATGGCCGCTTAGTGTTGAAGCGAACGTTCTTTGGAATCGAATCGCACCCGTAGACATGGCACACCCTGGACGTGATTTGCACGCCCGACTTGATCACAGAATCTGATCGCCCGGTTGATGGCAGTCGTTTAGAAGTAACTCCGTCTTTATTTTCACTTCGGTGGTAGTCTAAAGCAGGATAGATTAGAGGTAAACTTCACAGTTCAAGCGATCTGCTAGCATAAGGAGATTGGCTCTGTACAACAATCGATATGTATTTTTTACACGTGAAAACTGAAACAACAAAAAAGACAAAAAAAACAACTACCTCAACAGGTTTTGTAGGAGTGTCGGTGTGATATTTGTTTTTTGTTGCTTTCCCATGACCACTGCATAACGACTGGACGGCTCTACGGAATTGTGGATTGAACCACGAATAAATCACTGGATTCAAGGCCGCTGACGTCATCGCTGATACATGACACAATGCAAATACCTAAACTTATGGTTTTTATTCGCTATGGTACGCTATGCCAGCAGAAGGGGATCATCTAACGTAAATGACTTGTATCTGTCTAGTGTAAACCAGTTTCCTGCACGGGAATGGAAAGCTTCAGGCGTGTGCGGAAGTGTAAGCGAGCTGGTGTTCGCACCCCGAAGCCTCGTTCCACTGCGAGAAATTGAACTGCTTCAGCAGAACTGACACTTGCACCGTAATGCCCCCCTTACTGGAAGAAGCTCCATCACTGGTTTTTGAGATTTTTGACATTTTTTCCGACAAAAAGGGAACTCTGTAGAATTTACATCTTAATCAGACTCACCGTTGAAAACCATGGTTTATTGGTGAATGAGCCCCAATCGCGATACATATTTATGGCGTTCAATGGCATCCAAGCGAAAATGAATCCGAGCACCATAGCAATCATCATCCTGCAAGAAAACCCTATAATGCAGATACGTATAGCGCAGTGGCGAGAGGCGTCTTCAATCAAAGCAATCGAATAGTTTATTATCCAAGGCTTCCATTCAAGCGAGTCTCTGCTTTTCGGCATTTTTAAAATTTCGGACTTCTGATAGCTGAAAGTTTGTGGTGGAGATCGCATAGCGGAAAACGGTGCCTCATCCCATGTTCATATGTAGTTCGGAGCTCGATCCCGGATCGAACCAAACCCAGCCCAACGGAAACCTCTATTTCTTTGGGGCCGTTCATTGGTCCTAGTTTTAGCTGAGAGAGCAAAACATCAACTTGTAACTCCCCTGGACCAGCAAGTCATTGTAAAGGATAGCTGGATTCAAATGGCAAGAGGACCCTATAGGGAATCAAAAGTGTGGCTCATAATGAAAGGGCTTAGGCGACGTAGAACGCTATATCCTATCTTATCTTTAATATCTGAATTTTCAGAATTGAAGCTTACCGGTTCGACCATTATTTTCCTCCGCCCTATTGCTAGCTTTCCAACAAACACTTCACCCCTCCTTACCACCCTCCCCCACCCCCGCCCCACCTTCCCCCTCTCTGTCAGTAACTAGAAAAAACTTAGTAATGAAGAGCTCAGGTAAATGAGAACAGTTTTTCATGAAAATGAATTGGTTGCTACCACCTCCAAATTTCTAGTTGATTTGGTTGCAAAAGTGCTCTTTCCACAAAAACTGACCTATTAGCGCGAGCTTTTCTATTCACGAGCTTCTCCTCAGACTCTTTGAGGAGTGTGTGACCTCGACGTCGTTCCAATTGTGACGACATCACTTGACTGATAAGCCAGTAGCACACGGATGATATCAAAGCCGGAACACCAAACTGTGACAGCAGTACTGAAAGACCGTAGAGCCGACCGGCCTGATTCCATCGCATCTGGCCTAATAACTTCTTTAAGTCTTCAGTTATCAGCACTCCGAATCGATCTTTGAGCATCGTAAATAACCAGATCATCGATGATATTTTCATCATATTTTAGAGTCTAACTAATCTCTCGTCTTCTTGGCTCGAAACTCCACAAGATGGTAGACTAAATATGTAGGATAAAAGGTTAATTGAATGGGATAATTTTTTCTCAGGCTAGCCCATCTCGTCCTGGTAAATTAACATAGTTTCTGTAACACCTCCAACTTTAATCTTCAAACACTTAGGAAGATTTTTCCTGGAAACACTGGACGCTCCTTAGGTCACGGCGCGGCGTCGCGCAAACTTGCGGTGTGCAGCTAACGGCACGATCATGCCGAAATTGGGATGAGCGACATTATTAAGATGAACCAGCTGGAAAACAAACGGTGACGACGCGCCTGACCTGACGCGCCGTGACCTAACGATATCCCCCAGCCAAAATCGGCATATACTACGCCGTCAAGGAAATTCTCAAGTAGATACAACCGCTATTTCCACGCCACTTTTGACTGTCGGAGGCTCCCAACCCTTGGACCAGCGAAGTGGGATAGAGGCCTAATTATGAAAGAAGATTGTGAATCGAATAGGAAAATAGTCCTAGGCTCACCTTGTTACGCTAATTTTCATAGTTCATATGTATTCAAAAAGAGGTAGAATAGCGATAGCAAAGTCTAACCAGATTTCTTCACAGAAAACACCGCAAAGTTCGTCGTAACTGACAGCTCTTGAGAATATGCCGACAGGTAAGGCAAGCGCATACCCACAGACCCAAATGGCCACAACGATCGCCACTGCTCGATTGTAGCCGATCATCTAAATTCAAGCAACTCGTTGAGGTACATAAAGAAGATTATTTCTCTAGTAGGTGAGCCAAACCAGAAGGAAATGTCCATAATGTGATTCAGTGGAACGAAGAACTAACCTCCTTGTTCGGCTTCAGAATCAACAGACATCGATCCAATGCGATGACAGTGAGCGTGAAACTTGACACGAATATGCTGCCTCCCTAAACAGTAAAAAATAAGCCAAATTAAATATTTGCTCTTTATACCTCCCATGTTTGAGGTTTTTTCTCGCTGACGTTGAGTTCAACGTTGAATTAAGGAAAACCTAATAGGGTGGTAGTTGAGCTCATCGGTTTCACTGTACTCGTCTTGTGATAGGTTGAGACTTTTCCCAAGTGAAATTACTGATGTAATTGAAAAAAGAAGCCGATGATTTCATAAGGCGACTTTTACAATATTCCAGAATTTTTTCACTTTTTTTTCTTCACACCTGACTGGAGATCTTCCTACCTTTTGTTTTAGACCATAATTTACCCACATTTGACTGCAGTTTGTTTGATTAATGTGATCAAGGAATTGTTGTAGCGCACCTAAGCGTGCGCGTCGCGCAAACTTGCGGACGTGCAGCTGACGGCACGATCATGCCGAAATTGGGACGAGCGACATTATTAAGATGAACCAGCTGGAAAACAGACGGCGACGACGCGTCGTGACCTAACGACAAGTATGTAGATACAAGCGCTATTTCCACACCACTTTTGACTGTCGGAGTCTCCCCAACCCTTCGACCAGTGAGGTGGGATAAAGGCCTAATTCATGAAAGCAAGATTGTGAATCGAATAGGAAAATAGTCCTAGGCTCACCTTGTTACGCTAATTTTCATAGTTCATATGTATTCAAAAAGAGGTAGAATAGCGATAGCAAAGTCTAACCAGATTTCTTCACAGAAAACACCGCAAAGTTCGTCGTAACTGACAGCTCTTGAGAATATGCCGACAGGTAAGGCAAGCGCATACCCACAGACCCAAATGGCCACAACGATCGCCACTGCTCGATTGTAGCCGATCATCTAAATTCAAGCAACTCGTTGAGGTACATAAAGAAGATTATTTCTTTAGTAGGTGAATCTGACAAGCCGGATATGTCCACTGAAGCGAAGAACCAACCTCCTTGTTCGGCTTCAGAATCAACAGACATCGGTCCAACGCGATGACAGTGAGCGTGAAACTTGACACGAATATGCTGCCTCCCTAAACAGTAAAAAATTAGCTTAATTGAATATTTGCTCTTTGTACCTTCCATGTTTGAGGTTTTTCTCCAGCTGACGATGAGACCAACGTTGAATTAAGGGAAACTCATCCGGGTGCCATTAAAGGCATGCCCCAGGATCGCACTGGTGTGGCTCTTGCACACGAATGTGAATGTATCGGTGCCAAGTGGGCCGGCAGTGAAGAAAAAAGGAAAAGAATCCGTCGAAAACGCTCAGGTTGAGGGCTCACTCACCTTCCTAATTGGCTGTGCTAAAGGAACGAGAGACTAAGCGCGAAGAGGAGAGTATGGGGCGAGAGAGCGCATCAGATGAGAGAGCACCAGACAACGGCCTGATAAGAGAGCTCGTTCGCTGCAGCTCGAGCAGCTTACTTTGCAAGCCCAAAGCGTTCTTGTCGGTCGAATTCCGTGCACGTGAACGCCACATTTGTGATTGTCCCCTAGGGTTCTATACTTCTGACCGAAGAGAAGATCTTCACACGACCTCTGCCTGGGTTGTGCCTTTAAGGCACGGTTTCCACGATAACAGCCGTAATAGAGTACCTTTCCGGGGAAATCACTATTGTAAATTTGAAAAAAGCAGAGGCGCTTCTGCGCGAGTTCTCTATCATCCACATTTCGAATGAGGGCAATGGTGGATGCCCATCAACCTCTTTTCTCGAATACGCCCCCATCGCCACAAGGGGGCGATCATAAGGGCATTATATTTGGGATGGAACCGTTTTCACCAAACTACGACTTTTTGAAAGTGTACTGTTGCATACAGTTGTATGGAGGAAACTGGCGAAGGAATTTCCCGAAGCGCCAAACCGTTCGTGCTCGCGCCATGCATTTCACAGGAAGATACGAATCGGATAAGGGTCTGAAACTGATTTTTTGGCTCAACACAGAGCCATACACACTAGTTTGCAATCTATACCAAGCGTGAATATATCGAAACTTAAATTATCGAAATCTATCGGCTTATCTGAGCTGATTTGTATAGGATTTGGTGATAAGCTCTGCTTTTCTGAATTTTTCGTGGCGCCTGTACCACGTGCGTATCCTTATTTTTGCGTGGGTACAGAGAATAGATTGAATAATTTAATTAATAGTCAACACTGTAGCATACCGACAGTAGCTGCCAAGTAGGTTAGGTCACAGCGCCACTCATCTCTTAAAAAACTATGAGCTCAACGGCTAAATAAAGAACCCTCCAACTAGCGCCACTCCAAGTTTCAACAAACATCCCGACACAATTTGATTAGCCCACTTTGAACAGCTCTAGCATTAGTTCCCAAGTCACTGAAGAACTGAGAGTTCAATTGGATCAGTGCCAAATTCCAGGAACAGAGGAGTTTTTACTACACAATCATCAGGTCATCTACTGGTGAGAAAAATTTCTGTTACCATCAAATGATGCTTAGGTAGCGTTAAGCAGTCTCACATATAACACGAATGCGCCATGCTTGTGATATTTTGACCAAAAAGAACAACTCAACAAGCTTCGGGTTCATACAATGGGACTGCGAGTGTCGGAACAGGATTACAAAAAGAAGGCACAATAAAGACCCCAAGTGCTGACAATTGTCCTTCCACATCGCGCATCTTCTGTAGTCATTCTACACGCATAAATTTAAACCGATCAACGCTTTCTAGGAATTGGTTCGACCTGCTTCATGAATTCTTTTACTTCTTTGCTTACTTGCCCAGTCAGAGGCTTCAGTTTCAGTACTCCACAGCACTGCTTGTACTCCACAACCCGCAGAGGAAACAGCCGTGAAAAATGCCCATGAATACGAAGTCAGGCGCTCATATTCATGGGAGGGGGAGGGTCATTAAAAATAGGGCATTCAACCACTGCCAAGTGTCACTAGGACTAAGCCTACAAGAGGGGGTGAACGTCTGTCAGAAAAAAGATTCCTGAACTGTTTTCCCAGAATCTCTTCTCCTTTCCAAAGCTTAGTCTCAAGCACTGTGAGTGGCTCCCTCGCTTAAGCCCCCCTCTAACGATATAAGTGCTCCAATGGTAAATTACAGGGGCAGAAAAAGACATGCTTAAACATCAAAAAACGCAATTTTGCCAGACGGGTAAGGCTCTTCACTAGTTCACCAGATTCGTCATATTCTTTTTCACATTACTATATACTTTGTCCAAACACCAGGACACCTATCTTCACGTGCCACCGACCGGGACTCTTATGAGATCTACCTGCTCGGAAAACGCATCGTCAGGTGACCACCTTATTTTGAAGTGAAGTACATTTGATGGTCCTCTTCGAAGAAGTACACCGATTACTATAGCCAAAGTACGACTGTTAGAGGCTCTCATAGTACAGTCAGGGGTCGGTTTCAGTAAAATCCTTTCCGAGGAGGTTATCTAGTTTACGAACGGGTTCAAATTGAGCCACAAAATTCTTTGTCACCGTTAGTGTTGGACTGAAGCACCCTGTAAGTGTTGACTGAAAGAAAATAAAAATTACTCTTTCTGCTTCAGAATGATCCCGAGAACGAGTCTAATTTTTATTTAGGAGCGCCAACATGTCAAATGGCGTGTTAGAGCGCCACTCGTTTACCTCGTCAATTTTTCGGTTGTCATGGACAGTCCAGAAACCCAATATTGAGGCCAAAGTCCATGTGAGAAAGAAGAAGCATATCAGTCAACATCACTTTTAAATGAACTTGGCTGAGGTAATGAAACAACTGTAGGGCACGCCACGCATCTTACTTCCATTCAGAGATGTAGAGGCATTTGAATGCGATTTGACCCATGAAATGACGTGCAGAGGGAAAACGAATCGGTGTCCGAGATGGTATATCCGGGACGCATCACGATTCAAGATATCCAGAATTCAGGTTACAAGATGAGTGCATGGCACAAAAGACCCAAGAATGCCTAAACATTTACGTTCTGCCCTGATGACGGCCCCATTGCTGTCTGTTATGCATTAAAGGCAAACCCCGGGATAAAATTACTTTTTGCGTAGTGATGGCTGAGCTGCGGAACGACCTGAAAGTGGAAAGGAAAGCAAGAGAAATCATGGAAACGCTGAAATTAAGGCCTTAACCTTCATAAGGTCGGATGTGGTACGATGGCGAGACAGGGCGATCAAAGAAGACAAAACGCGAGAGAGCACGCTGATCTCTACATCAATCGCGGTGGGTGGGAAGCGTTGCAGCGGGGTCGATGGTTGCAGGTTCGTAATGGATTAGCGCCCTAATCGCGCAATTTGGGCAACGAAGCTGGCATGATCTATGAAGGTACGACCCCAAAATTTCCCTCGCGGTATCCTTCCTACTAGTCGGGCTAATCCCGTGTT